TGCCCTGCAAGAAATGCTCAAGGGAATACTGCAGGACGAAGTGAAAGGTCTCTACAGAGTAACTTGAAACTGTTTCCAAAAAAAGATCTCTGTACCTCAGCCCTTAAACTCTTGGAACCAGCCTCTCTCACCTTATGAAGACAAAGCAAATTATCTTTGTTGACTGTGGAATACCAAGGTCCCCAAATATTGTATGAGGCAGGAGAGCCTAGGCTCAGGACAAAGCTCAGCTACTTTCTTGGTAACTAACCTTTGTAACCCTCAATCACACTAGTATAGAGATAATGAATTACAGGTTGACAATCATAGCAACTTTATGATCTCTACCCATACTTACATTTAAAAATAAAAAATAAAAAGTCCAGCCCCATAGCTTAGTTCATGACACAGTATTTCTACTTTCATGGAGCATGATAGGAAGAAGTTAGACACAAATTCTGGGTAACTGTCTAATTTGTTCTGAGTCAGAAATTTTTATTTTGCAAAATTAATTTTCTTTTTTTTTTTTTTTTGAGAAGCTTTTGCTATAGGGTGCATGCACTCACCAGGGACAGACAGTGAGAAGGAAAGTGAGAAATTACCCCCTTTAAAGAGTGGCCATGCCATAATCCCTTCTCCTTCTTTCTTCTCTTGGGATTTTGGGCACACATGCACACATACCCAGCGTGGCTGTCAAGTATCCAGGTCTGAAACTTGGACCACGGCTGGCCATATGGGAGTCCAGCATCTTAACCACTAAACCACCTGCCTGCTTTGGCTACCCATACTTACATTTAAAAATAAAAAATAAAAAGTCCAGCCCCATAGCTTAGTTCATGACACAGTATTTCTACTTTCATGGAGCATGATAGGAAGAAGTTAGACACAAATTCTGGGTAACTGTCTAATTTGTTCTGAGTCAGAAATTTTTATTTTGCAAAATTAATTTACTTTTTTTTTTTTTTTTGAGAAGCTTTTGCTATAGGGTGCATGCGCCCGCCAGAAAGAGAGATAGAAAGCGAGAAATCACCCCCCCCAGGGGGGATGGGCCACGCTGCAATCCCTTTTTCTCCATTCTCCTCTTGGGATCTTGGACATGCAAGCACATGCACCCGGTGTGAGTTTAAGCCACTGGGTCCAGGACTCAAACTGCAGTCGGCTACATGGGAGTTCAGCAACATAGCCGTTATGCTAACTGCTGGTCCTAAAATTAACTTACTTTGAAAAACTAAAACCTCAAGTAAATATTCTAAATCACTATAAAAGAAATTTTCCTCATAAATATACTTGTCCTCAATGCTCTATCATTTTTCCATATATATTTCCACATATGGATATACTAGGTTTAAATAAGACATCCATATTTATTCTCTCTCTCATACACACACAAACACATAAAGGGACTTCAAACAGTTAATTAGAAAATATGTAAGTAAGTTAATTAGAAAATATATATTATAAGTTAATTAGAAAATATGTATTATAGTAAAAAAAACTATGCATGGATTTCAAATTTTTTTGCACCAAAATGAACTCAATATATTTTTCATAAACTTTTTGAAGCCCCCTCATATACACACATACTATGTACAAACACGTATATATATGTGTGTGTATCGATGTGTATATGTGTGTATACATTTGTATATATGTGCATATATATACACACATACATATATGTATATACATGCATGTGTGTTATATGTATGCAAGATACAGATATACATATTAACATCTTAAATCACTATGATCTGTTGAAGAAATTTCTTTTCCCTGATATTTCTTGATTTCTTCCGTTAAGACAGGATTTGTATGAAAGATACACGAGAAATAAAACTCTGTACTTCCCAATGGTTATCTTCTAAATACCTACTTCACTGGGTTTATTATTCCACTTTTTACATTATATAATTATGATTATATAATAAATCACTCAAACCTTCATTCTCAGTCTTTGTGACTAAGTGTCAACGAATCCTTACGCTCACTGTGCTTACGAAGGGCCAACTCTTGTTTGATCAACAGATTCTGTAGAAAGAACTATGAAAAATATTTTCTCTTACACAGGTCTCAACCGCACAGAGACCATATATACATCTGTTCAAAAAGGATCCATTTAAGAGTATACAAACAGGTTGAACACCTAGTCTTGAAGAGAATGTTCATAAAATACAGCCTACATTCTTCCCGCCACATGTGTACCCCAGAGCTAGGAATTCTATTACTTGAGACAGGAAAGTCCAGGACTAAGCCCATTCCCACAAAAGAACACAGACATTTGAATGTGAGGCAAATCACAAGAGAAGAAATAAAGTAAAAAAAGAACTAAAAAATATTAAAGACTGGGGCCAACAGGTGGCATGGTAGTTAAGGCTGGATTCCCACGTGGCCAACCACAGTTCAAGTCCTGAATCTGGCAGCTTGTTCTCTCACTCTTTCTCTCTCTCCCCCCCTCTCCAATCTAATTAAAATAAATAAATAAATAAATAAACAAACTGAAATAAAATCACTCTTTAGGAAAATTAATATTAAAGATAAAAGAGAACACACTGAAGAGTTTCTCCTAGATATAGTCAAAATAAATGCATAGGAAATTGCTTTCTTACTGCATAAATCAGTGCTATTTTATGCCATGTCCTAGCTAAAACTATTTCACATACTACTGCACAGATTACACTCCCCAAAAGAAATAGCCATCTTATGGCTATTCTCCTTGGATACCTTATTCTCTTTTATTGCCACCTTCTTAAGAGAAAGTGCTACACAGAATAAAAATTGTGTCCTGCCACTTAGTACAATAAAATAAGTCAATATAGAGAAATGGAGCCAAAATGAATTAAATCTCAATCATCTCATACCAGCTGTGTGACTTTAAGCAAATCCTTTAACCTCATTATGTATAAGTTCCCTTACATATATTACATATACAATAGCATAATTATTGGTCCTGCCCATAGTTCAATGGAAAAATAAAAATAAAAGCCATAATGAGATTTAAGTTCACACTTGTTATCATGGCCATTATGAAAAAAGACAAGAAGAGATAACAAGTATTAGAGAAGATGTTTAAAAAAAGGGGGGGAGGGGGGCTCTGTACACTGTTGGTAGAAATGGAAATTGATAATACCATTATGAAAATGGTATAAAGATCCTTCAAAAACTTAGTAATAGTACCACTATATGATCCAGCAATTCTACTTCTGGGTAGATATCCAAAAAAAAGGCAATCTGTATGTCAAGGAGATATTTGTACCTTCATGTTTACTGCAGCATCATTCACAATAGCCAACTAGAAACAACCTAAGCGTCCATCAGTGGATGAATGGTAAAGAAACTGTGTCATGGGGCCAGCAGGTGGTGTGGTGATTAAGGTACTAGACTCCCAAATGGCTGACTATGGTTCAAGTTCCTGACCTAGCAGCTCTCTCTCTTTCTCTCTCTCACACACATGCCCTGTAGCAAATTTTAAAACAATAATGACAAATGAAACTAAATAGTTTTTTTAAAAGAAAGAAACTGTGGCTTATACATACATACAACAGAATATTATGCAGTCATTAAAAAAAGGAAGGAAAATGTGCCATTGCGACAACACAAATGAATCTGGATGACATTTATTTAGTGAAGTAAACCAGGTATAGAAAGACAAAGAAAAAATCAAAAAAATCCTCAAACTCATAGAATCAGAGAATATAATGGTATTTGCCCATGAGTTGAAAATGGGGAAAACAGAGAGATACAGATTAATAGATATAAAGCCATAATGAGATTTAAGTTCACACTTGTTATCATGGCCATTATGAAAAAAGACAAGAAGAGATAACAAGTATTAGAGAAGATGTTTAAAAAAAGGGGGGGAGGGGGGCTCTGTACACTGTTGGTAGAAATGGAAATTGATAATAACATTATGAAAATGGTATAAAGATCCTTCAAAAACTTAGTAATAGTACCACTATATGATCCAGCAATTCTACTTCTGGGTAGATATCCAAAAAAAAGGCAATCTGTATGTCAAGGAGATATTTGTACCTTCATGTTTACTGCAGCATCATTCACAATAGCCAACTAGAAACAACCTAAGCGTCCATCAGTGGATGAATGGTAAAGAAACTGTGTCATGGGGCCAGCAGGTGGTGTGGTGATTAAGGTACTAGACTCCCAAATGGCTGACTATGGTTCAAGTTCCTGACCTAGCAGCTCTCTCTCTTTCTCTCTCTCACACACATGCCCTGTAGCAAATTTTAAAACAATAATGACAAATGAAACTAAATAGTTTTTTTAAAAGAAAGAAACTGTGGCTTATACATACATACAACAGAATATTATGCAGTCATTAAAAAAAGGAAGGAAAATGTGCCATTGCGACAACACAAATGAATCTGGATGACATTTATTTAGTGAAGTAAACCAGGTATAGAAAGACAAAGAAAAAATCAAAAAAATCCTCAAACTCATAGAATCAGAGAATATAATGGTATTTGCCCATGAGTTGAAAATGGGGAAAACAGAGAGATACAGATTAATAGATATAAACATTCAGTTACAAAACGAGCAAATTCCAGAGAGCTAATGTACGGCATGGGTGGAGATGGGTGTAGTAATTTGATTGTGATAACCATTACATAATATACATGTATATCACACCAGCAAGTAAGTATACTTCTTAAATATATTCAATCCTTGTCAAATTAAGTACTTTAAAGTGAAAATAATTGTGCATATGTGAGTTGTAGAGACCAATGCTCTTCTCAAACTAGCTCCCATGTAAATATTGACTATTTCAAGAGGAAACACAAGTGACCCCACACTCAACATACTTTGAATCACAGTCCTTAAAACCATGAGACTATATTTGTCCAACATAGTCCTAGAAAATATTGTAACAAACCCCTACTTACATAAATGCACTGCATCCAGATCAAATTTCCTTAGAGGATAGTAAATGTAAGCCTACATATATACAAAGACATGTATGGTTTATGTATTATATATTCACACATAAAATTCCTTCCATTACTCACATTCTCATAGAGAGCTTGAAGGGTCTCCAAGTCAACCACAGAATTGTCCAAGTTCACAACAGCTGTGAAAAAAAAAAAAAAAAAGACAAAAGAAAGCAGATAAGTTGCCATAAACCAGCTGTGAAGGTGTTTTACCACCTCAGGCAATGGCGTTCATACCCAGCCAGAGAACACAGGGGCTCTAACTTCAATGCTTCCACTTGTCCCACTTCGAAGACTGGCCTCAAGAATTTCAGTGGACCAGGTGCCAAGAGTCAAGCTTTGGGACCAGCAGTTAGCATGATGGCTATGTTGCTGGACTCCCACGTAGTCAAACGCGGTTCGAGTCCCGGGCCCGGTGGCTTAAACTCACGCCGGGTGTGTGTGTGTGCGTGCCCAAGATCCCAAGAGGAGAATGGAGGAGAAGGGATTGTGGCGTGGCCATCCCCCCCCCGGGGGGGGGGTGATTTCTCGCTATCTGTCTCTCTGTCTCTGTCTGTCTGGCGAGTGCACGTGCCCTATAGCAAAAAATCTCTCAAAAAAAGAGTCAAGCTTTCACTTGCCCCAGAAATACTAAATGCCATGACTGTGGCCCAGTCAGAATTCAGAGAGAAGTTATGAGTCTGTCTTTCACAAGCTAATGGAATAAATTTGAAAAAAAAATATGCTTAATACTGGAAAAATAGGAAGTAGGAAGTGGAAGCATAGGATGGGTGAGATACCTAACCAAGGTAGTACTAGCATTTCTACTTGGAGCTGGTAACAGAGCCCAGATTTACCAACAAATATCATACCAAGTAGAACTTCCACCATAATAATAATCCATTATCTCAATTTCAAAAAAAAATCTCAAATATAAATCTAAGAGTTTGATTAAGACTCCCAGACAAATCTTCTTACTCCTCAGACCATATAAGGCAAACATCACAAACTATTTAACCTTTCAAGTAGTAAAAAGCATAATCCAACTAATTCTGACCCTATTTCAAAAACTATTTAAAAGGGATTAACTAAACATTTCCACTGGGGTAATATGTAACAAAATCCATAAGACCCAAGAAAAGATAGATTTGTATATATAATAATCCTTTATAGATATGTACAGAGTCTAGTCTTAAAAAAAAAATTATGGTGAATCCAAAGATTTCTGAGTTTGGAATGCATTAGCTAGCTAGTAATCCAGTAATTCTCTACATTCCTTTGGTGATATAGTGAGCAACTGATGGGAAAACTATGAAGAAAATGCTAATAGTCAACTTAGTGTAAGATTTTATCCCCAGAACAAGGCAAAGAAACACAATAAAATCATTCATACTCAAGTCAAAAGTCACAAAGGAAACAATTATCCTTTGACTTTATCCATCACTTTAAAACATGCTATTATTTTTAAAAGATTTCCCTACCTAAAACTTCGCTTGTATATATCTTTTTAAAAATTATTTATTATTATCGCAATCTTGTTTATATTACATTGAGTCACATATATCTTTACAGTGGCTTACATTTCTTTTTCCAGAAGGAATACCTTGCGTATCAGTAAAAACAAAGACATTACTAGTCACATCATATCTTAATGTTTCTTATCCCATTACCTCATACACCATCACATACCTTAGAATATCTTAACAAATGTTATCTACTCCTAACCAAGTTCTCAAAAGATTCTAACCTATGAAACTTCCTGTTTTGCTCATCCGCAGAAAACCTCACTGAAAAGCAACTGTTTCTCCATTCAATTTTCTCTTAGCTTTCCATAAGAAATGCTAATAAATTCAAAGGACAGTAAGTTTTGAAACCACCTAGGATGGTACAGTGATAACATAATCTTCCACATACCAAAGTCACCTAGGAATGTGTCATGATCCTGGCTTGCTGAAAGCTGGGGATGGATCATGGTGTGAGGACCCTGTCGGACATGTCTGTGTGTGTGTGTGTGTGTGTGTGTGTGTGTGTGCGCGCGCGTGCACGCATGCTTGTATGTGTCCCTCAGAAAAAAGAAATTAATTTAAAAAACAAAGAAGTTTAAACTTAAAAGAAAAAAAAAGAATATAGTACAATATAGTCACTTTTACGTAACTTAAAAGAGAGGAAGATTAGATACTAACAGATGAATGGATACAGTGCTAGAGGTTCCAGATATCTGAAATAAAGGTAAAATATATAATTTGAGAAAGAAAAGATAAAGGTTATTGAAGTACTATCTTTCCTCAGTTTAAAAAGCGCATGTTTGGGACCAGCAGATGGCATAATGGTTAGTTACATTGCTGGGCTCCCACGTGACTGACTGTGGTTTGAGTCCCAGACTCAGCACCTTGATACTCATGCTGGATGCCTCTGTGTGTATGCACGTGTCCAAAATCCTAGGGATAGAATGGAGGAGAAGGGGTTGCAGGGGGGTGATTGGTGGTCAATTTTTTTTTTAAATGAGAAAAAATAAAGTTAAATAAATAAAATAATTCTTAAAAAAAAAAAACAGTGGAGATGTTTATGACTTCCTTTAAACAACCTATAAATGACAATGTCTTAATCACTCAAAATCAAAATGAATAACAATTTTATTTTTAGACCCAAAATTTTATAAAATGCCAGTGATGTGATAGATAGCAGAATGCAGTACTCCTCCGGCATTCACATCAACTAATGTTTAGTGAAAATGCTAAATTTTCTGAGCCCTTATCAAGTGATAATAACTTATGTCTATAGCAGATGTTTATCATGTGAAGGAAATAAGCAAGTATATAGTAGGAAGGATAATTCAGAAAACCTTGCAATAATTTATGTAATTTTTTATTTTGCCACAGGGCATGTGTGATTAACCAGAGAGAGACAAGGAAAGGAAAAGTAAGAAATCACACACCAGGGGGGATGGCTGTGCTGCAATCCTTTCTCCTCCATTCTCCTCTCAGGATTTAAGGTGCACATACATACATACCCTGCATGATTTTCAAGCCACCTGGACTGAAACTCAAAATGGTCAGCCAGCGTAATTAATTTTAAAATGTATTATTAACTGTGAACACATTGGTTAAAAACTAGAGTCAGAGCTGGGAATGTGCTAAATTACAATTAGGTTTAGGATTTTCTTTCAATAATCTTAAACTGAGACTGTAAATAGCTCTTGACTGCAGAAATTCCCAAGTACAGCCTATTGAAATCCAATGCTGTTTCCATCCAACCATGCTGTTACAAAATGAGGAGTGAAATAGCCTATTCTGGCCCTCAATCAGGCAACACGACTTAATCTAAGATCTTAAAAATCTCTGAAAGTAAAATCTTGAAGCAAAAAAAAAGCTTTTCTTTTGATTTTAAGATACTGCATTACATAAAAAGAATTCTAGAAAAAGCACTCTAAAATAACCAAGGGTTCCCCTGTGCACTGTACGTGCTGCACATGTGACGTGGTACACAAGCAGGTGACAGTCCTGGATACATGGTCTATGTTATAAACATGTGCTTTTCTGGAACTACCTTCTTCAGAAATGTGGGGTGTGCTTTTTTCTTTTTTTTTTTTTTCTTTAAGGCTTTTGCTGTAAGGGCGCATGTATTTGCCAGAGAGGAACAGAGAGAGGGAAAGTGCAGAGTTGCCCCTCCCCAGGAGGACTGGCCATGCAGCAATCCCTTCTTATACAAACATAGCCTATCAAATTAGTTTAACCTTCTAATAACTATACAGATTACATTAGATACAATTTATAGACTATAGAGACATGAAATAATATGGTCAGAGCTTTCTCTGTACAATTACATGGGCATGCTTAATTCATTGCTGCACCCTTCGCTATGTTTAGAAGAACGCAGTACAGAAGAGGCATGGAAAAATACTGTCCGTGAATGTTGAAAGACTGAAACAAGCTTAAGTAACTATAACTTTAATTTTACTGAATGAACTTTCCTTTTCTTGAGATCATTTTCATTATCCTTACATAGACAACTTCACTCTAGCTAACTTTGTAGTTTAAAAATTCAGAATGCAGGGACCAGCAGTTAGAGTAATGGCTATGTCGCTGGACTCCCATGTAGTCAACCGCAATTCGAGTCCCGGACCCGGTGGCTTAAAACTCATACCAGGCACGTGTGTGTGCGTGCCCAAGATCCCGAGAAGAGAATGGAGGAGAAGGGACTGCGGCGTGGTCATCCCCCCTGGGGAGGTGATTTCTCACTTTCTGTCTCTGTCTCTCTCTGTCTGCCTGGTAAGCACACGCGCCCTATGGCAAAAAACTCTCAAAAAAAAAAAATTTCAGAATGCAAAGATAATAATAGTTCACGTCACATAGTCACCTGACAGTACTGAAAGGCACAGGGACACAGTCGGCTCTGAAGTCAATTGGCCCCATGATCTTTATAGAGTAACTGGATTCCTCATCTGCAGAATGGACCTAACCGGAATACCTACCCTGTAGGCTTCTTGCAGGAGATTAAATAGTGCAACTAAAATGCCTGGAAGCAGTGCTGTGGACAAAGCAAACTCAGAAAATGCTGACGGTTACTATTAGTAGTAGATCCCTGGGACCAGCAGTTAGCGTAATTGCTATGTCGCTGGACTCCCATGTAGTCGACCACGGTTTGCGTCCCGGACTCGATGGCTTAAAACTCACGCCGAGCGCGTTTGCGTGTGTGCCCAAGATCCCGAGAGGAGAATGGAGGAGAAGGGATTGCGGCGTGGCCATGCCCCCTGGGGGGTGATTTCTCGCTTTCTGTCTCTCTGTCTCTCTCTGTCTGTCTGGCGAGTGCACACGCCCTATAGCGAAAACCTCTCCAAAAAAAAAAGTAGTAGATCCCTTTCATATTCCCATATGGAAAATACTTTATTAATATCTCATCAAATCATTGCTTTGATGGAAAGGTTTTAGACAAACTGGGTTGGAAACATATTCCCAGAAAAAAAAAAATGACAATTTCAGTTGTACTGATAGTAACATGGGAGACTAAACAAGTAGCCACAGCAAAACTACCAATTCTGATTTTGGTTAAGGTACATGGGAAGAAAAGCAGCATCAGCAGAAGCTTAAACACAAACTGAGTATAAACCAGCCCATATTTACAGTTCATGCCCTCTTCTCACCGACAGTCAGAAAGACTAAAA